TCACGATTATACCGAGACAAGAAAAACACTCTCACACTACAAGAAGCATCCCTTGATGGTTATCACAAGCGGGAGGGCAAAGAAGGGTGCACGACTGGCTTCAGGGGTCGAAACATGTTCATTGGGCAAGGGGGCAGGCGATGTGCCATGCGTGGGAGGCAGACGAAGTGCTGGAGACAGGGTACGGCGCCAATGAAGCCACAGAGGTCGATGCTGTTAGATATTCAATTGCTGAAGGAGTGGCGATCTCTGGGTAGAGGTCACCATCCATCTGTTCGTTTGTCATACAGGGGTGCCTTGTGTGGTGATGCTGTGAGCTGCTACGCCACAGACGTATTACATACCAGAAGGGTCACCTGCAGTGAACAGGTCTCAGTGGAGCCCCAGACTCAGAACAGACTACAAAGCAGGAACGCACTCCCCACTCCGGAGGGAGCAGCCACTGAGAACTGGAGGAATCGCAGCGGAACCCTGTCAGACACAGTGCTGGGAGAGGAGCCCTGCAGGCTGGAAGGCAGCCCAAATACCACCGAGGAAAACAGCACCTGAAAGTAGAGTCAGCCTTACTGGCATGGAGGCTGTAAAGCTTGGGAGACATCCACGGGAAGAGCCAGCTGCAAACATCAACTAATCATCAGGACATGGAAAGTACCTAGGATGAATCTAGGGAAATTGGAAATACTCCAAAAAGACACAACACACAAAAATCTATGTCCCGGGCAGTGGTGAACTGAAACGGACAGGTCTTGGCCATCTTGAGTTGGACAATCATCGGTTGATGACAGCAGCAATGACCAGCTCGAGAGGAGTGGTCTCACGTTCATTGTCAAAGGCAGCATTTCAAGCCCTATGTTGAAGTGCATGTTGTCTGTGATAGGGTGATATCTACATGCCCACGAAGAAATCCACTTAAGACAACGATGATTCTAATGTACGCCAACCACGAAAGCCAGTGAAGAACTGAAGCATTCTTCGGTTTGAAATGGATCAAATGCAATCAAGATGCATTGATGCTTATTGATGATTGGAATGCAGAAATTGAGAATGAAGAAGGAAGAGTAGTTGGAAAATATGACCTTGGTGAGAGAAGCAAAGCTGGAAACCACATGACAGAATTTTGCAAGACGGACGACTTGAAGTGCTTCATCAAGCTAATGAGGCA